GAAAGGGGTGCAAGGAAGAACAAACTCAAAATTTGTCACATTCCGCATAGAATACAGACCCACAGTTTCTCCTGTCCTGAGAATGAAAATAATGGGACATTAGTACAAACAGCGTGGTACTGAAAGTAAACTGATATGGCTAAAAGTGTCACTCAACCATAAGGCAGTTCTAACCATGTTTTCTAGACTACTTGAGGTCAGGTCTTAATGGAAATTCCGATCGCCCTCAAAGTTTGACCTTCACAATAAATGCAGTAGTAACCAGGACAGAGCTGGAAACATACCACCAGATCCCTCAGCTTTCCTTATGGCACACCCCCAGGTATATTTTAGATATTCTTTCCTTCCAAATGTGTTTTAACTCTCCACTGAAATATTACTATACAAATAGATATTCTGTGTAAATAAGTATATGTTATATGTATAGCTACACTTTATACACACAGAGAGTAAGAATTTTTCCCCCTCCCCTTCCCAAATTATATATTTTGTCGCTTCAGGAGTAATATGAACTTCTTAAGAATGTATGTTTGGCCAGATGTTGGTGGCTTGCACCTCTCATCCTGCTACTCAGAAGTCTGAGGATTGTGGTTTGAAGCCAGCCCAGGGAGGACTCAGCCTGTGAAACTGTTTTCTCTAATTAATCATCAAACAAATTAAAAAAAAATCATTAATGAAGTTGTGGCACAAGTGGTAGAGCACCAGCCTTAGTGAAAAAGCTCAGGCCCTAAGTTCAAGCCCTAGTACAGGCATATATACACATATGAGAAAAGAGTGTATCCTTATGAAATAAGACTAAGCTGTAAGTTAATACAGAACTTATGTGTAGCAAGAAGATCTATGAATCTTTCTAGTACAGATACCAGTGGTTGTTCTGGTCAACTATTGGTAGTATATATGACAGTGGTCCCAAAAGATTATTATCAAGTTCTTATTACCTAGTAGGGTCTTACCACAATGCACTGTGTATATGTTTGTAGTCATGTTGGTATAAACAAACCTACTGCACTGAGACCCAGTCAGATGACACTACACGCCATTAGTTACAGCACACAATACTTGAAAATGATAAGTAAGGGGCTGGGAAGGTGGCTCAGTGGTAGAGCGCTTGCCTTGCATGCATGAGGCCCTGGGTTTGATTCCTCAGCACCACATAAGCAAAAAGAAAAAAAGCCAGAAGTGGTGCTGTGGCTCAAGTGGTAGAGCACTAGCCTTGAGCTGAAGAGCTGAGGGATAGTGCCCAGGCTCAGAGTTCAGGCTCCAGGACTGGACCCAAAAAAAAAAAGGAAAATGATAAGTAACTATGTTTATGCATTCACTATACTGTCATTTTAAGATATACTTTTCCTTACATATTCAAGTTTACTATTTTCATTGCCCATGTTACTCTGGCAGTGACACACCATGTACTTACTGTATCCTGACTCATCAAGAGATGGATCAATCAATGGATCAATCAAGTTATGATGTCTACAAAAGATCGAAATCATGTAATGATGCACTTTCCAGAATGTATCCCCTTGTTAATTATGACTATTGTAATTTGCCTACACATCATTGCTAACTGTTAAATTGTTGTACTATAATTTTAACCTCTTTGTTCTTGAATATATTAAGTAAAAAGGAGGCATTAACTCAGTAGCTACTATGTTAAAGAAATTGTAACTCTAAATAATAATCTGTTGTGATTACAAGTAAAATTATTAAAAATAAACAACTCTCTCATGTCACTCACAAGTACTTCATCAGTATTTATTACATTGGCTATCCAGAAGCTTTTTATCTGTACTTTCGATAAGTATAGAGACAATGGGACAGTCATTTTAACACCATTCCATAGACTGTAGAAAGATATAAAGCCAGTAAACAAAAATGTTCCCAATTTCACATGTAATCATTTCTTCCAGTCAGTTCATTAAGCTCCTGCTCATGCCAGAGCACCTAGATGAGGGAGCTCTATGGCCAGTCAACTCATAGTTCTGCTACTGACTTCCCAGGCAAGGGAGTAAATGATTTAACCACTCATTTCTCTGATCAGCCAATAATGCAAACTAGTACCCTTAATGGAAAAGCACACATACTCCTAAACAGGAGACCTACTATCTGGTACCACCTCTGCAAATTACTGTGGAAAATATGGACAAGTCATCTCTCCCCATCTAGAACCCCATGGGTGTGTACAAAGAGATCCTGTACTCTAATTGCCTTGGCATGGCTACTTGGCATACACAATCACATCAAAGAAAATGTACTCTGGATTAACCTAACCACTAAAAGACCTAGTAAATTTGTTTTTTAAGTGCATGGAAAAGCATTGGGAAAAGATTGCAAGGAGGCTTCTCTATTTGAATTAGATACATCTGTATCCAAAAGAATTCTTCCTAGTCCTTTTGAACCATACCTACTGAACCATGCCTGGATCAGTAATGCTCTACTTTATTTGTAATTGGTAAACAACTGCTAGCTTTGGGGAATGCTCCAGGGGTTATATAGCAATCTGTATTTGAGAAAACAATTCCTATTTGCCCAATACATATCCTGCAATGACAAATCTCTTATATATATTCGATAATCCTCACTCTACCCCCCATGCCCTTCATCATGTCAAGTTGTTCTAAGCTGAATCTTTCTCCCCTCCCCCTCCCCCTCTCAGCCTCCTAAGTGCTAGGATTACAGACAAACGCCAACCCCCTACCTGGCCCCTGTAAGAACATTCTTTACCTCTGAGGAAGACTAAGAAAGAGTGTTCAAAATAAAAACAGTAATAGGGCAGAAGGCAAAATATATCTTTGATAGACAAGAAAGTTTTTTTTTTACTATTATTTTCAGCATTATGACAAAGTAAAACAAATCTCCTTTCCCATAATCAGCACAAAAAGTTATCTGCTGAGTGCTTTGACTTCTTTATGTAATGTGTTGTTTCTAGTACTCCTTTTCAAAACACTGAGCTGTTATTTAAGTCAATCATCCTAAAAGGGGGGATAATCATTGGGAAATCATCTGTACTAGATGAAACAGGTGACTGACTAGTTTTCTGTCCAGCAGAGTACCTCTCTCTCTCTCTCTCTCACACATACTCACACACACACACACACACACACACACACACACATTCACACACATCCCAGTAACAAACAGTGCTTACCAGTTAGGTGATTCTCAATGGAGCAGGAGCGAGCACATGTTACATATATCTCTCTCACTGTCTCTCTGTCGCTCTCTTTCACATACACACACACACACACACACATACACACACACACACTCTCTCTCTCTCACAGAAGTAACAGTGCTTACTAGTTAGGTGATTCTCAATGAAGCCAGGCAAAACATCTTCAAGGGCAGGTGAATGAGTATTTGGTATGTATCCTTTCTATGTACTGGGTCCCTATTGAAAATATTTACTCCTACAATCTGTACTAAATCCAAGTCTACTGATACTCTCATAGAAACTGTATTTGAAGGCAAATGTCTAAGATACTTCACCATGGTCATCTAAGAGGTCCTCCAGCCATTCTCCTTTTTCTTCATAATCTTAGCTAGGTAAGGAGGACATTTCTCTTTGAACAGTGTTAGCACCTCCCTCATATTCTCCCACTTTTCCCCCTCCCAGCCCCTTCCATCCCCCAATTAATACAAATATAAACAATTTTTCCTGAGTTTTGGTTCACTGAATTCCCATGTCACCAATAACTCATAACTCAACCTCAACCACATATTCCCAAGGTGATATACAAATGTATTATTACCAATAGCTATAATCCCTCCATAATCTCAATTTCACACACCATGTCATTCCAGTTCCCTCACTACAGGGCCTCAAATCCAACTCTCCTTCCACTACCCCAGGACCTTGACACTACCCCTTTTCATTGATTTCCTTTTCCCCTCTACCACTTTAGACTCTGTGGTCAATCATTGTAACTAATCTCTCATGATAAATTCCTTGCCTCTTACATGTTGTGAGAACTTGCTTGGAAAAAATACAACTGACCACCACCTTGTGGCCACATTACTTAAGGAAGTTAGGGAACGGGCCTACGTATGCACACATCCCAGCTACCTAATTTCACTTCAAATTTACAATTGTCAAATATCTGGTACCAATGATTCTTTGTTTTTGGTGCTGGGACTCTACCAGTGATTCTGTACCCATAACAGATGTCCTATATGGCCACCTGGCATATGTGTGCGTGCGTGCATGTGTGTGCGTGTGCATGTGCGTGTGTGTGTGTGCACGCGTGCTGGATCTAGGGCTTAAACTCTGGGCCTTGATGCTATCCCTGAGATGTTTTGCTCAAGGCTAATGCTCTACCACTTGAGTCACAGATCCACTTTCAGCTCTTTTTTTTTGGTGGCTAACTGGAGATGAGTCTTATGGGGGCTGGGAAGGTGCCACAGTGGTAGAGTGCTTGCCTTGCATGCATGAGGCCCTGGGTTCGATTCCTCAGCACCACATAAGCAGAAAAAGCCAGAAGTAGCACTGTGGCTCAAGTGGTAGAGCGCTAACCTTGAGCTGAATTGCTGAGGGACAGCACCCAGGCCCAGATTTCAAGCCCCACAACTGGCAAAAAAAAAAAAAAAAAAGTCTTATGGACTTCCCTTCCTGGGTTGGCTTAGAACCGAAATCCTCAGATCTTAGCTTCCTAAGTAGCCAGGATTACGGGCGTGAACCACCAGTGCCCAGCTCCACCTGGCTTTTGAAACTACCCAACTGAACTCCACAACTGGACCAAGAGCTTCTTAAGGGTAGAGGCTAAATCTTAGTTTTAGGTAATTCTTATAGCCATAACAATAGTAAGCATATCATATGTAACTTCTACATTCTCACTGAATTAACTATTAAACGTAAAAAATCCCTAGCAATGTTCTTTTGGCTCTTTCTTCAAATGAAGACCTGAGACAGGGAACAAATCTAATGGCTTCAGATTATTTTAATGGCTCCACCCATATCCAAATAATTTAAAAAACTTGACTACTTTTAGTCTCAAGTTGCTTACCATTTTTCATCACTACATTGGACCAGACATTAGCATTCAAGGCTTGCACAATTCGCTTTACTCCTGTAGACTCAGGAAAATCATCTAAGCAGGGAAAGAAACATATGTATTTATACTTAGGCTTACATATATCTACATAGACTCATATATGTGTGTTTATATTTCTCTAAAGCCATATTTTCAAGAACTTTTGGCTTAATCATATTGCTTATTCATTACTTCACACTGTAACATGTGTTTGGATGAAGATATGAGGTATATTTATCTTAAAGTCTTACAAGTGACATAATTTTTGAAAGAATGAGACTTTGGGTGTAATATCCAGGCACCAAAAACGCAGTTTGCAATGGAGAGCAAGAAGCAATAACATGACATTTGACATTTAAAAGTGTCACAGATGTTTGAATATTTCATTTAAATAAGTGAAGAAAAATGGCTTGGGAACATTTTATATTTAAAAATTCCAGGAGGGTTTTCACTTTACCTAAAGATGACATATCTAAAAATCTATTTTAAGATTACACACAATTACCAGGTATAGTAGCACAAGTCTGCATGTAATACAAGCATTTGGGAGGCTGAGGAAGGAGATTACCAAGTTTGAGGCCAGCCTGGACTACACAGAAAATTCCGGGTCAGCCTAGATTACATAGTGACATACTGTTGCAAAAACATCATACTGAATTAATACAAAAATATTGTTCAAAGGGACAGAGATTGCAAAATGGTAAGAGTGGGATCCTGACACTTGAGAACAACAAAAAGAAGAGAATATCCTAGTGCCATAAATAAGCAACTCCATAACATGCTTACATTCATAAAGTCGGGCACAAGTTTTAAGAGACCTAAAAACGTGGAAGGACAAAGTGTACCTACTCATTTTCAACACTCTCGGAATAAGTACAGGAGGCCAGGCATAGTGGATTGCCCTGTCATCCCAGGTACTTGGGAGGTAGATAGCAAGAGGATCATGATTTGAGGCCAGCTCAGGTCTACCTCCCACTTCCACCCCCTAAAAGATAGGTAACAAGATCTATCTCAAATAGTACTACCAAAAACAAACAAAATGAAGATGTGCCTTTAGGGCCTCATGCTTGCTTGCTATGCAGGTGCTCTACTACTTGAGCTCTACTCCCACTTCTTTTCCCCCCACTTTTTTTTTTTTTTGTCGGTTGTGGAGCCAGAACTCTGGGCCTGGGTACCGTCCCTCAGCTCTTCAGCTCAAGGCTAGTGCTCTACCACTTAAGCCCCAGCGCCACTTCCAGCTTTTTCTGCATATGTGGTGCTGAGGAATCGAACTCAGGTCCTCATGCATGCAAGGTAAGCACTGTACCACTGAGCCACCTTCCCAGACCCCTTTTGTTATTTCTTAAGGTAGGGTTCCATGGTTTTTGCCCAGGGCAGCTTAGACCATAGTCTTCCTATTTATACCACTCAAACAACTGAGCTTATAGATGTGTATCCCCATGCCCAGCTTTTTTGTTGAATTGGGATCTCCTAAACTTCTTGCCCAGGTTGGCCTCAAACTGTGATAATGCCAATCTCCACCTCCCAATTAACTGCAATTATAGGAGTGGACCACTACCCATGACAATATTCTGCCTTATTTCATTATCATTCTTTTTCTCTGGCAGGATTCTATTCCTATAGATAACATCTCCAATCTCTGAAATACCATAGTACTAAGTATTGTTTTTTTTCTTATGAGAATTCAAATATTTGTATTCGGGTGCTGAATTACAAGGTTTGGCAGACTAAAATTTCTTAGCTCATAAATAGGGATGAATGGTCTGGACAGCAGTGGAGGCCAGAGGGAAATGCTGGGTGTGTTTTTGGTTTCAAGTGTCCCCAAACCACATTGGTAGGTATGAGGTACCCATGAGGATTTTGGCCTTAATTTACTCTAAATTCAAAAGAAGGCATATAAATTCTATCTGTGAATATAGGACCAACCTTCCGTGTCTGGCATCAGGGAAAGAACAAGGGACTGGGGAAATGACAACAATTTTAGATAAATTACTATCATCCATTAAAGCGAACAATAAACATTTTAAAAGTCCAAAATGGGTGATGAAACAAGTAGAGGATTATTACATTACTATAAAAGCACGGTGAATTTTTGTTCATATCTTTTCAAACAGTTGGAGAAAAACTGTTTGTTGAAACTCATTATGATTCTTTTCTGCATTAAAACAAACTACCCCCCCTCAACCTAAACGCCAGGCTTCCTGTGGACATACACTTACCATCTTCTTCAGGCAATTCCTCAGGACTAAGTTCAACCAATTCAAAGCCATGTTTTATGCACCATTCTTGAGCTTTTTGTCGATTTACTCCTAATATGCAAAAAAGAAATTTCCATATGTAAAAGTAAAATACGATAAACATCCCCTGCAATACTCTTGACAGATCTTAATGTTTTCCCCTTAGTTTCAATGCTATTCTCCAGGCATTTAAAATCAGTAAAGATAGCCGGGCGCCGGTGGCTCACGCCTGTAATCCTAGCTACTCAGGAGGCTGAGATCTGAGGATCGTGGTTCAAAGCCAGCCCGGGCAGGAAAGACCGTGAGACTCCTATCTCCAATAAACCACTAGAAAACCGGAAGTGGCGCTGTAGTTCAAGTGGTAGAGTGCTCGCCTTGAGCTGAATAGCTAAGGGACAGCGCCCAGGCCCAGAGTTCAAGCCCCATGACCGACAAAAAAAAACAAAACAAAATAAAATCAGTAAAGATAAAAGGGGGAAATGAGGACAAGGAAGGGGTGACATTGTCCAAACATCATTTTATTAATAACCAGATTTTTGGAACTATAGCTCCCTTGTACAACTATTTAATAATGATACTTTTTTAAAAAGAAAGAAAAAAATACTCCTTCTGAAAGCAATGGAAGTATCATAAGAGTCTAAAGGGAAATACAGTCGCCAAAAATATTTTTGTAACTTAACAGAATCCTATGACTCTGTTGAGGAAACAAAAGGCACTCTGTCTACAAGAAAGGACAAAGGTATCTACCATGCTGAGTATTAGTAGCTACTCAAGAGGCTAAGATCTGAGGATCAAGGTTCAAAGTCAGTCTGGACAGAAATGTTTGTAAAAGTCTTATCTCCAGTTAATCAGCAAAAAGCCAGAAGTAGAGCTGTGGCTTAAGTGGGAGAGCATTTGCCTGGAGGAAAAAAAACTAAGGGACAGTGCTCAAGCCTTGAGTTGAAGTCTTAGTGCTGGGGCATGCATGTGTGCCCCCCCCTAAAAAAAGCTACATCCCATCTGAGGGCCTTACCATCTTCACACACTCTGTCACAGACCAAAATCATCACCTCAGGTAACCATGTTTCCGTCAGTGGAAGCCATGAGGAGACACTGTCAAGACCCGATTTCTAGAAAGAGCATATAAGCAAACAAAATCAGAAAATGACCCATTAAGCACTCACAGCAAATGCCGCCGCCGCCACCACCACCACCACCACCACAACAACAACAAAGAAAAGATACCAAAATTTCCTACTCAAGGATCCCTGGAAAGCAAAGTCTTACTTGCGTGCTGTCAAAGTAAATCACAAAGGCCTGGACAGATTTTGCAATCTCTGCAGTGATGAGGAATTTGTTTGGCACGACACACAGATTGATATCTGCAGAGTAGTATTTATTATCGATGGTCCATGGGTAATATCTCACAGCATCACTGGAAGCTGGTTCCACAATAACATCTTCTGTTCCAAGGATATCTAAATAAATAACACAGTATTCCCAAGGAAAGTGAAAAAACAATATACAATGGTCAATTTTTTTTTCAGTAAGATAACTAGATTAGCTACCTCCCTTAGCTAAGGATTCTAAAGGGATCTTCATTCGGATATTTTCTTCTCTGATCAACTGATTACAATGGTAATGATAACTTTTTTTTTTTTTTAATCAGTCGTGGGACCTGAACTCCAGGCCTGGGCGATGTCCCTGAGCTCTTTAGCTCAAGGCTAGCGCTCTACCACTTGAGCCACAGCACCACTTCTGGCTTTTTCTGCTTATAAGGTGTTGAGGAATCGAACCCAGGCCTCATGCATGCAGGCAAATACTCTACCACTGAGCCACCTTCCCAGCCCCAATGATAACATATTTTAAGTCAATGGTACTCTATTTATTTATGCATAAACCCAGAATCTCACACACCACCACCAGACTCTCACTGTACCACAACCCCAGCCACTAGCTAATTTTTTTTCTTTCTTTTTTTTTTAGGGGGGGGGGCGGTCATGGGGCTTGGGCCTGGGTTCTAGCCCTGAGCCCTTGGCTCAACATTAGCACTCTACCACTTAAGCCACTTCCAGTTTTCTGGTGGTTAATTGGAGATTAAAGTCTTGTGGACTTTCCTGCCTGAGCTGGCTTTGAACTATGATCCTCAGATCTCAGCCTCCTGAGTAGCTAGGATTCTCTTTTCTTTTCTTTTTAATTTTATTTTATTGCAAACTGTAACAGGGGTTACAGTTACATAAGGCAATGAGTACATTTCTTTACAAACTGTGCTAATTTTCTTTAAGGATGTAAAAGTCTACTACTATTAAGATAGTAGTAGAACAAAAAAAAAAAACTACCCAGAAAAGAGCTAGTACAGAGTAAAAAATGACAGTCACATTTATTTTATTGCTTAAGTACTTCGTAGGAAGGGGAAGTTTTTAAGAATCTTTGAATTTTCAACTTATACTTACTGCATGCTAAAAGGAAGATGGGATTAAGGCTAAACCATTAATAAAATAGAAAAGCTGTAGACAATCCTTGGGTAAGTGTGTAGACACTAATTCAATTAATGAAACAAAAGAACCGATGCTAATGACAGACTCCAATTCCATTTATATTCAGGCTTGTTCATCATCTTTGAAAGCCAACTCAAATTCTTGTTTGACAAAGACACTCCTGACAAATTTTAAATGTATAAAAGTCAGGCAAATTAAACCTTTTCCATTATAACTAAACCTTTCAGGAAGCTACTGTAGTAAGGGTATAGGAAGAAATGTACCTAAGAAGTAAAATAGCACTAGGTGATAGTGGTTCAACACCTGTAATCCTAGCTACTCAGGAGGCTGAGATCCGAGGATCGCGGTTCAAAGCCAGCTTGGGCAGGAAAGTCTGCAGGACTCTTACCTTCAACTAACCACCAGAAAACCAGAAGTGGTAAAGTGGCTCAAAGTGGTAGTGCACTAGCTTTGAGTTGAAGAGCTCAGGGACAGGGCTCGGGCCCAGAGTTCAAGCCTCATGACCAGCCAAAAAAACAAAAAAAAGAGAAGTAAAAAAGCATGTCATCAACTAGGTTCTTAGAACACAGAGAAACACAGTGGGAAAACTTCTTTTTAGAGTACCCTAAGATGAACAAGTAAAAAATGCCCCCAACTCCTAATTAGCAGGACTTTGAAAACTTGAAGCCCAATTTTCATTCCTGAGCTAATCTTGATAACTGGAAAGCCGCATCATGGTTTGCTTAACATAGACATGGAGGAGTTACTTAGTTCAGAAAACCGCTATAATAATGTACAGTATACTCACTGTGAATGTGTGTGCCCATATGCACACAGGGTTCTTTTGTTAATAAAGTTATGATTATTAGCAAGAACTGCTATTCTGAAAAATACAAAGTTCTCCCTTGCTTTCTTTCTGCTGTGTTCTGTTACTCAGGGCAGGGGATAGTAGCTAGGATTTCAGGTGTGAGCCACCAGCACCATCAACAAGACAAATTTAAACTAATTTTGATTTGTTGATATATGCATGCTATAAAACTATCTTTTTCAAAACTTGTATTAAAATCAAAACTGTTAACAGTTTTGTGCCCAAATTTCAAACTCTGATCTCTTATCCTATCTCTTCAGAAGTTAGCAGTTCTGTGTAACTTCTACCTAAAGTTATAATTTCTTATTTACTGTTAATCAACTGGAAAGCAACCAGCTACAATGTCCCTTACGGAGCATGAGAACAAGTTTGGTGGGAATTCAACAGGAGGAAAGAAAATGAGTCATGAAAATCAAGATTCTGTTTTCATGTAAAATGTCTCATTGAAAATAAACTACTAGATCAAAGTCTACACCATATTCAAAGCTAAATTTCAAGGTTAGACACAGGCAGCATACTAACGTGGTTGTTTTTCTAAGAGGTGAATATCAGAGCCAACACACACACCATAATGTGTCAATAAGAACACATACAGAAGTACAACAACTACAACAAAGGAGAAAAGGCAAAAAGCATACATCAATTGTTTTATTAAGGGGAAGGAGGAACCAACATAGGAATCCACCTTCATTCATGTGTATTTTTTAAAATAGCAAACTGGTTTTTATTTTTAAAGGAGTGAAATGCAAAGTGGAATGAATTCACTTGTTTTTAACGGGCAAAGTATAAAGACAAAGGACTAAGAATCCTACCAATGCCACAGTAGTCCTAAACTGGATGTAAAGTAAACAACTAGAACAAAAGGTTGAGTTACCTTTCTTCAAATCAGCGCCTACAACTGTGTGAAAAACAGCAATTCAAATAGCATACACTCATTAAATGCAACTTAGAGTGATTGCTTTGGCAGCACATATACTAAATTGGAATGATAAAGGGAAGATTAGCATGGCCCCTGTGCAAGGATGACACACGAATTTGTGAAGCATTCCATATTTTTTTTTTTCTGGTCAGGGCTTGAACTCTGGGCTTGGGCGCTGTCCTTGTGCTCTTCAGCTCAAGGCCAGCGCTCTACCACTTGAGCCACATGGCCACTTCCAGTTTTCTAGTGGTTTATTAGAGATAAGAGTCTCATGGACTTTCCTGCCCAGGCTGGCTTTGAACCACGATCCTCAGATCTCAGCCTCCTGAGTAGCTAGGATTACAGGCGTGAGCCACCGGTGCCGGCTCCATTTTTTTTAATGCAATTTAGATTATTTGGATCTATTAAGTTTAGAATATGAGAACGCTTGACTTTTCACTTTTATATTGTCTTCATGTTTGCACGTTAATATAATAATACAAAGAATGAAGCTCTTTTCTAACAATTATACATGTTAGAATATATTTACACAGTGGAATACTGTATAATTATAAAAGAGTAAAATCCTTTGTTGTCATTCACAACAAAGTAGATGAATCTGGAGAACATTATGTAAGGAAATAAAATGGGTAAAGATAAGTACTACATGATCTCACACAGATATCTGGAGTGCTGAGGACAGACAGATTATATAGTAATATATAATTATAGTTACATATCAACCAACATATGATGACAGTTAAGATAGGAGGATTATTTTTTAAAAAATGAAAGTCCAGAATAAGCATAATCATATATAGAGACAAAGTAGATAAGTGACCGTCTATGGGGGCAGGGTGAGGGAAGAGGCTAGGTGTGGGAGGGGGGATGGAAGTGGAGAATGAATAAAGAATAATTACGGAGATCCTGTTAGGGTGACGAAAAATTTCTAAAAATTACTGAACTGACAGTTTGTACAGCTTCTTGAACATATAAAGAACTGTTAGATGGGCAAATTGCATTATGTGAAGTAGGCCTCAATAAAGCTTTTAGAAATAAGTAAATAAAAGTAAGTAGGAGCAGAAAAAAAAGCTATTTCTTTCTCCTTTCTCTAATCCCAAAGGGATGAGAGCCAGTAAATTAGAAAAATGAATCTCACATTTTGATGCTTTAATAACTGGGAGGGTTGGTTTTGCTTTCCTCTCTGTGCTGCTTAAAACAAGGTGATAGCTCAGTTTACTTAACAGATTTATTTATTTTTGCTTTTAACATTTTACGTGTAATCACTTTCAATGAAGCTGCATATGGACTTTATTATCACATCTGTGCCATATAAGAACTAAGGAGAAGAGTAACACTGTCTCATCACCATCAATATCTAGTTTAATTGTAAAAATGTAAATTTATGTCTACACTAAATAGAGCTTTCCTCCCTCATCTTTCCTATTCAGTTTCATATGCTTAACAAATTTATTCTTTTGTAAATTAAAACAAAAGCTCTAAGCACTTGCGTACACGGCTTAAGAGTTTTGAGATTAGCTAAAGATTATTCACTTACTTCACAGATGAACAACAATGAGGGCCAAAAAAGACCAACTTGCTTGCTGCTTGCCTAACAAGAGCAAAGGAGCAAGTGGCTAAAACTGATGTCAGGCCCACAGCATTCCTTCCTTCCCTTCAGTGATGTAATGATGCTCACATCTGAGAGATACCACTCCAGAGCCTTTTACCTTTGCACCTCAAGTACCCTCTGTCTCCTTTCAGGAACATTAGGACATTAGGACATTTTGTACAAACCTGTAGGAAACCAATCTATAGGAAACCATTTGTGAATTTGGGTATGCATACATCAAAGGTAAGTTTACAAACCTGTAAGTTTTTAAAAAACCTATAGTAGGCTGGTAATGTGGCTTAGTGGCAGAGTGCTGGCCTAACATGCACGAAGCCCAGGGCTTAATTCCTCAGTACCACATACACAGAAAAACCTGGAAGTGGTGCTGTGGTTCAAGTGGTAGAGTGCTAGCCTTGAGCAAAAGATGCTCAAGGACAGTGCCCAGGCCCTGAGTTCAAGCCCCAGGACTGGCAAAACAAAAAAAACCCAAATCTGTAGTAATCCCCCTTCTTTGCCCTTCACTGTAGAGAACAGTGATATAGTCAAGTCTGCTATGTACAAATTCAGATCCAGAGTAATTTCACTTGCCTTCTACTGGATGTCAGCTTTCTCACATTGCTAGG